CTATCTATCTATCTATCTATCTATCTATCTATCTATCTATCTATCTATCTATCTATCTATCTATCTATCTATCTATCTATCTATCTATCTATCTATCTATCTATCTATCTATCTATCTATCTATCATTAATTTAATGATATTTCTGCAGACGAAAACGTCAAAGAGGAAATTTTACCACCAGTACAGGAAGATAATTGGATCAAACACTTTCAATCTTTACATGCAACATGTGATAATCAAGAAACAATTATAGATAAATTGCAAGAGCTTGAACAAGATCAAAACGAGCCAAATATTACTCTAAATACAAGAATAACTGAAGAAGAAATCTTATCTTGTGCAAAACTTTTAAAAAACAACAAGGCCGCTTTCACAGATATGATTAGAAATGAAATGATTAAAGTAAGTGTCGAGACTTTATTACCTGTATATTTAAAACTTTTCAATCTAATACTGGAATCGGGGAATTTCCCAGACACCTGGTGTGTAGGCTCTATAACCCCCATTTTTAAAAACGGAGATCGCGATGATCCCAGCAATTATAGAGGCATTTGTGTTTCTAGTTGTTTAGGAAAATTCTTTACACTAATTATGAATAGACGTCTATTAAATTTTACAAAAGAAACTGATTTGCTTCATAAATCTCAAATAGGTTTTCTACCTAATAACAGGACTACTGATCATATTTTTACACTTAGGACAATTATTGACAAACATGTGAAGAATGTGACTAAAGGCAAAATTTATGCTTGCTTTATTGATTTTAGGAAAGCGTTTGATTCAATTTGGCACCTGGGTTTGTTTTATCAACTTTTGAAAAGTAAAATAAATGGAAACTTTTATCAAATTATTAAAAGTATGTACACAAAAAGTACTTGCTATGTCAAATTAGGAGGACAAAGAACGAAGTCTTTTCAATACAATCGTGGTGTTCGTCAAGGCTGCATCATAAGTCCATTCTTATTCAATCTTTATTTAAATGAGCTCTCAAAGCTACTTGATTTAACACCGCACAATGATCCGATTTTTCTCCCAAATGGTTCTAAATTATCTGCTCTTTTATACGCTGATGATTTAGTTTTATTGTCACACTCACGACAAGGTTTACAGAATAACTTGAACGCTATTTCAACATTTTGTAAACAATGGAAAATGTCAATAAATGAGAAAAAATCAAAAACAATGATTTTCTCTAACAAAAAAGTAACTCAACAACCTTTCATTTTAAATTCTAAAAAGTTAGAATCTGTTAACGTTTTTACATACCTTGGAGTAAAAATAAGTTCAACTGGAAATTTTGCTCCTCATTTAAAACAAATAAGAGAAAAAGCTTTGCATGCATTTTTCAAATTATCGAGGAAAATTGATTTTAAAAAACTGAAACCTTCTCAAGCGAATAAATTTTTTGATGCTTTTATATCTCCAATTCTCACATATTCAAGCGAAATTTGGAGTCTCTATTCTCATCAAGACTTTGAGAAATGGGATAAAAATGAGGTCGAAAAAACACATCTACGTTTCTGCAGATACTTTCTTGGTGTAGGTAATAAGACTTCAAACATTGCCTGTAGAGCTGAACTAGGCAGATTTCCATTAAAGATTTTTGTCGATAAATTGACCATTAAATTTTATAACCATCTAGTCGTTTCACCTGACAACTCGKTAGCAAAACAATCTTTAATCATGTCTAATTGCCTATTCAAGAAGAATAAAAACTGTTATCTTTCAAATCTCCAAAAAATGCTAAATTCCGTTGATTCATCGTTGTGTGTTTCGATTGAGCGCCCTTTTAATAATGTTTTTATAAGTGAACTAGAAAACTCAATGAAAAATAATTATTTCAAAAAATGGAAAATTATGGTAAAAAASTCATCTAAACTCTCCTTTTATGGGACATTCAAAGAATACTACGAAGAAGAAAAATATCTAACTACTATAAATAACTTTCAAGAAAGACAGAATCTTTGCTGTTGCGGTGTTTTTGGTCTAGTGTATCTTCCTGTTTCAATCGCTAATTTATGGTTACTAATTCTAAATTTCGTGAGTTGCTGTCTCTTTTGCAATAATGAGGAAATAGAAACAGAGCAACATATGATTTCTGATTGTCAAGGATACTCCAATCTTCGCCTAGAATTTCAGTCAAAGCTAAATGACAAAATTGATTTTTCCGCAAATTATATAGCCAAATTAATGAAATCCACAGATGATAATGTAATTTTCTACTTATCAAAATTTCTGTCAAAATGTTTCAGCTATAGAAAAGAAAAACTTTCTGAAGTATAATCCATTAGATATTCCTATCAAATTTATATTCATATACCTATCATRAAACGTTAACTATATATTCTACGTTTCCAAATTTATTAAAATGTTTTTGAACTAAGGGCAACCTTTCTCAAAACATATGGCTACGGCTCTATCTATCTATCTATCTATCTATCTATCTATCTGGCAACGTCGCGTATAGTCCCCCATGATGCTTTATGAGCTATACCACAGGCACCCCAATTACAATAAAATTACGTCAGGCAGACGTACACAGGTATCCTGCACTTCTTGCATGGTCGAATAAAGTCGGACTTGCCGTTTTTGCAAATTGAGAAAGACAGTAAAAATATATATTTCTTTTTTTTCCCCCAAAATAGCCGAACTCACGGTCTAATAACAGCGTCTAGTTCAAAATATGCAAAATTTCTTGACCCAAAAGGTCCATGTAATTAATACCGATAAAAGAGTCCTTGCTTTGACTGATAAAATCATACTTGTCAGACAACATGTCGCTAAGTGATATCATGATACATAATACGTTGACCTCCCAGGCCAAGAAAAATACTTAGGGACCGTTCGTTTATTATGTCTCAGGGGGGGCTGGTGGTTTTTGGTGGGGGGTAAATTTTTCAAAAAATGTTTTTTTAGGGGGGCAAATTTGATATCAGAGTACTAAGATACAGGGGGTAAAATTTAAAAAAAAACACAAAATATCTACATTTAATCTAAGTCAAAATAAATATTAAACAAAATGTAAAAAAGGAAAAAATCCAATCGATTTACATAATATGTAAAAAATGAAACATACRCAAGTACCAGCTTTATTCATGTTGGGAGCCCTGTGTTCTGTTCAAAAAGAGACTGGACACAAATGGCGGATTATTTACATGAGGTGTTCTTGAACAGCTTTAAGTGCACTGGCCATGTTCCCTTTGCCATGCTGTTGGCGATTGATAATGGACTCAAGTCGAAGCAAAATGTCCTTTGAATGATTTAACACGAATCTCTGATCTCTTTTCTTGCCAATTTAAATGAATTTCATCGTCTTTTATATAACTTTTCAAATCATTTACATCCTACAAATGTCTGTAAAGAATGTAACCTGGCAAGTTGTTGTTACAGGAGACTGGTAACTAGTTTTTGTGTTGAGGGGGTGGGGGTAAAAATTCAAATGTCATATTTTAGAAGGGGGTAAAAATAACAAAACTCCTTTCTAGAGGGGGGTACTTTTTGAAAAAGTTGAAATCAAGCAAGAACCACCAGCCCCCCCTGAGATATAATAAACGAACGGTCTCTTATAAAAGTAAAAGATGCCTATAAAACTGCCTTTTTGTTATTAATAAACAAAGTTTCTTCTTGTTATAATTTGATATCTTTGCCCACACAAGACTGTCTAACTCTAGAAAGTTTCGTAAGCATACTACTCGAAGCTCAACAGAACAACAAACTACAGTACCTTATCTGTTTCACCAAAATTAAACTGTGAATTACATATAAAACGAACATGTCTATTGTTGAACCCGATAGTAAACAAACCGCATTTTGCTAAGAGATAGCGCCAATAAAGCGTACCCATTAGTTCTTCATCAAGAATGCGCACGCTTTTGCGCTAGTACTACTATCAACGCACGCTCTTACAAAATCGAAGATAACGTCTAGAATTACGTAAATGCCATAATTGCGATAATAACCAAGCGATAATTGACGCAATTACACAGGCAACCCACCTTTTCCTATGAACGTGCGCAGACACTAGAACGTTCCTAAAAGCGTGCGCATTTTTCTTTTCTTTCTTTCGATTCATGATTGACTAGCTTATCCCTATAACTGTTTTTGTTGAACACGTTCATGCTACTTCTTGACTTCTACAAATGTATTGAGATTTCGAACTAGGCGTGTTATTCTATCTTCCGATATTCCTATATTTTTCGAAAATAGCTACAGCCCGACTTCACGCTCCGTGAGCGTCTAGTTGTATTGGAATCCAAGTGCGACAGACTCATTGTTTCTATTTTCAAGTATGTCGTTTTATTGTTGTTTTATTTCATTGTAAGACTGGTTGTGAAATAAAAAGATAACCCTATACATTAAAATTGGTGTAAGTTTCCATTCACATAGCTACTTTACAAGGTGAACCAGCTTGGGATCACGTTTCGAGATTCATAGATAGAAGAAATGGTAGAACAAAAGCCGGTTTTCAGATTTTAGATATTAGAACATTTGTTAAGGTGTTTCGATCGTAATAAATAGCGCTTCGCGCATATTTTTAAACTCCAACTACGTCGCAAATTTCGATTCCATCGCACTCAAATTTCCACAGAAGTAACAGTGATTATCGATAATTCTTGTTGATAAATTAATTTGCCAAAAAGCGAAGCCATTTGGATAAACGGTGCAAAACAAAAACACCTTCATTTTTCTTCAAAGTTAATTTTCTCGAAACTCATCGCAGAGATTGTAATAAAATTTTCAGAATCATTTCTTAATAACATAATTGATATACTGACGAAGTTTCAATGAAATCTTAACCTAAAATTTCGAGTTGTGTGAGCAAAATGATGTACATTCGAACAATTCGAACCCCCCCCCCCCCCATATCTTGGATCAATTTCATGTAATCCCCCCTTCTGGTTTTACAGCCCACCGGCTCCTGGTAATTATTGCACAGTCCCTAAGATAGACATGCAACTTGTATAATCCAGTTCATTAGAGTTTAATTATGCATAAATCACTGGCTACAATCATTATACATAAAAACAATGCCACAGTACTGTCAATGAAAGCATAAAAATGGCCGGTAAAAATTCACCCACAATTATTGAAATTATCACGAGGGACCTCATGTTTTATGCTAATTCAATATTTCATGTCCATAACAATTTATCTTACTAGTACAGGTTCAGTGATAATCCTGTCAAAGGTTGCTATGTATTTTTTAGTGTTCAAGTTACATAAATCTCTATTGAATTACTTGGATTGCTAGGAGTTCTCCCATAATAGCGCTATCTACCGGATAGATCCTTATCCAGCAGATAAAATCCCATACAAAATCCAAGGAGTGGATAAGTTTTATAATATATCCACCCTTCCTATAGCCGGCCCCAGCCCTACAAGATGTAATAAATATCTTCAAGGATATCGTCATTAACAGTTACGAATATTCACACAAAACTGTACATAATAATTTACACAAGATAAAAATCTTTAAAAATTGTTTTTCCAGCGGGAAATGTATAAATGACTGCACGCTTTTTCACAAATTGTCTATATAGCTATTTGCCAAAGGATAAATTCTTCTATTTCGTAAGCAACTTTTACTTTGCGTTTTGGCAGCACAAAAATTCGTTCTTAGAAAAATCGATTACGGAGCATGTTCAGTCCCCTTATGTGATTATGTTTTTAAGGCCGAGAAATACGACGCACAAAAAAACATTAACTTGTGGCGCAATATTAAGTTGCTGTTCTAGTTAGTTACAGTGCTCGGACCCTCTTGTTTTAATGACACGTTGCTAGTGCTTAAGCAAATGTAAAACGAGAACATTATTTCGAATATAGTTCTTGTACTCTTGTATTTCWTGTCCTTTACATATTAATTTTTTGTTTCTGTTCTTGCATGTACATATTAAGCTTCTATCCAAAGAAATATCGCTTGCAGAAAAATAAAAATAAACTTTTGATGTAATTCGATAAAAAATTGTCAGCCCTTTTCATTCTGGATCTGGAAAAAGCTTGCCTGTGGAGAGAAATAATCATTAGTTGTTTATATAGGATTTCAAATGTTCTAGAATTTCCAATGAAATATACACGAAGCCGCGACTACATCCGCATATAGATCCCATACATTTCTTTGGAAAATTTAGCTTATTTGAAAAACTGTAAGTCGTTCACTATTGAACTGATTTACATCAAATTTGAGGATTTAGCATTCCTCGATAAGGTTTTTATCTCTATTTGAGTATTATCTCTCACTATTATATAAAGGACAATGTTCAACGACGCCTTTTTTCGCAGCAAAGCATGATGGTAGTTGAAGTTTATAATAAGTGCGTCTGTGCACATTGCTTATTAGGGAATTTTGCCCAGTGTCCTCTCGGCTTGAAATCCGTCAAGGAAATATCCTTTCGTCTGTTATGATATATATAAGAAAATGAGAGGGATTTATTTGAAGCATATTAGGTGCACCAACGTTCCTACCCTCTAGTATAGTTATGGGCTCATGTCAAAGATGTGTTTACACTACAGCATGTATTTACCTTGAGTGTGGTGAACATGTGACCTTGTTCTCCTACATGTACATGACTGTCCACCATGTCATCAATAAAATGAATTTCAGAGCCCATGTGAGGAATACTAGTGTTACAATGGTCTTTTTGTAAACTGTGGGATTTACTCGGTAAGAGCCGGTACTTGGATCAAAGGTTTTTTAATATAGAGAACACCAACTTTTCCTTACACCTTGCTTGTAGCTTCAACTCTGAGCTATACAATTACAATCTACCTTTTATAGTGCATATTTTTACAAGTGCATAATGACAGTTATTGGCAAGCTATATTAGAATATGATTGGCTAAGACTTACTTTTGATGAGTTTGGCAATGATGTGTTCGACTTGGGCAGAATACGAAAATGCTATGCCCCGAAATACTTCTAAGTTAAATTCAGATATGAAATTAAGACTGAAGGTAGCTCTAATAAAGGACTAACTTTCTACAAAGTTATATTGAATAGATATTTAAAATAATGAAGTTACAAGGTTTTGAACTAGCGATGGGCGATAGGACGTCGCTCGAGGTGTRCTCTTTCGTAGGAGGGGTTTAGCTGGATTTAGCGGTAACATTACAACGATGCAAGTTGCGTGCAAGCATCCTACAAAATTAGATGGGATAATCCAGATTATATTTATTATAGAAATATACAAGTACCTTGTAATCTCCTTATGTTGTCAATCTATGTTCTTATCGGAAAGMTTAATGAAGGGTCAACATTATTGAAAGTTCTAGCAAGTGAAACCTAAGATAGTCACAAATCGCAACCGGTTTAAACATAGCTAGAGTTCATATAATCCAAGCAAACTAATGCACCTATCAATGTTTTGCCCCAGGATGGGCAAACCCCGAGGAATTTGACATTTTCGATTTTTAAAATTCAAAATCCCTACCCCTGGTCCATTGGTATCGATCAAATTCCCGGGCCTCGGGACAAAAAAAAGTGTTTCATACTAGATTATTACAGGTTATTGAGATACGAACAAAGGGAAAAATATTGACTGAATGCTAAATTCATATTTGTAACAAGCTTAATCATTTAATCACATCGCACTTTCCATGATAAATCAAGTGAAAGTAGTTCGATATTTACTTTCTCCTCCGCACAAGGTGATCGTGAGGTGGCTCCAGTTGACTTCTGGATAAAACTAGTTTCCAGGATTACTCGGCATTCAAAATGGCGCCCATTAGTTGCAAATTTTCCGTGTCAAATTTCCCCTCCTCAGAGATAGATTCAAATCGAAATCCCCTCTCCAGGGATATTTTAAAAATCAAATCCCCGGGGTTGGAAACAAGTCATCAAGGGAGATGAGCTTTTCTTCACCCTTCCAGTAGTTATGGACTTCCTATAAGTCAATTGTCACAGCTTAGTGAATACTAACGAGATCATCTCTATCAATCAATCAATATCAGTCAATCAATCATCAATCGATAAGGCAATCAATCAATTAATTAAACAATAAATCAATCAGGCAGTCATTCATTATTTTCAACGAAACTCAGTAGGCCAATCAAACAATCAACCCAGTGAGGCATGTACACTTGGCCAACGGATAGACATAACTGTAATACATACCTCGTTAATCTTTTCAAAGACCTTCAAACGTTGTCTTCAACACTGCTAACTTTTCCATGGGGCTCAATTTAGTGCTAAACGAATAATGACACATTTTTAATCAATGGTATATTCATTGCTGAGTACGTAATACTTAAAATCCCGGCCGTTTGATTTAAACAGGCGATGAAATGTAATAGTATTAGCCGCCTACAATAAAATAAATTATCCAGTATTCCTAATAGATGGATGTTTCTAAATACCAGAAAAATCATTGAAAATAGTTAATTCACAACTCGTTAATAGAATCAATCATATATTGGTATTCAACTCTTTAACTCTGTTCCATCGTGATCTCAAAATACCTGATTTGCTGTAAGGCTTCAATGAGGGTCCACAATAGGGGGTTTTCAATCCCGCAATCCCGCTAATTTTTTTTCAATCCCGCAATCCCGTCAGTTTTAAGGTCTTTAAGGTCGCAATCCCGATCCCGCAATTTTCTCTTAATAAATAATTAACTTAATATAACATCAATGGCATACCTTYCATATTATTGACTCTATTTTCCCTCTTCTTTTTCATCTAACCGTCCTCTTGCATTGTTTGGCTGTACATGTACGAAATGTTTTATGCAACTACTTATTTTGTCCGCTTTAAATGATAAAACAGTTTTTCATTTCGTCTTTGTGGTGTTTATTTATTGCAGCATTACTTAACAAAACAGTCTTTCATTTCGTGTTGTTTGTGGTGTTCATTTTGGTCGCTTTACTTGATAAAACAGTCAATATTCAGGGACCGCGGAGCAGGGGGGGCTGGGGGGCTACAGCTCCCCAATAATATTTCCGACATTTTGAATTTTCTTAAATAAAGAAGCGAAGAGCCTCCTTATAAATTCTTTGGGATTTTATCAATAATATTGCTGACCGTGTCTGCGGTAAATATGTCTTGGATAACGCCTCAAAACGCTGGAAATGGCATTTCCGAGAGTTAAGATTTCAGAAATTTCCGACCCCCCTAGWACCTCCTCGCCGCTAGCCCCCCCAAACAAGATCCCGCTCCGCGGTCCCTGATATTTTGTTGCTAGAATGGAGACGAGACAGTCAAAACAATAGAAACGAGACAGTCAAAACCGTCCGTTGTACTCGAATGTACATACGGACAATCCATCGAACTTGGCTAAACAACTTTAAGGTTCTGAATTGAGATCTCAAGGAGTCGTTGAAAGTTCTTGATAAGACTGATAATAATGATCGATTATAACTAGTTAAAAGTTGCTTTGATACCTGATATGACCAGTACTATTACACATGCATGTAGATACCTTTATCGTGACGTGTCCGCTTTTGTCCAGTAATCGTCCAGTAAGGACAGAAAGGTCAGAGAGGTTTTATCTCGTAATAAAATGCACAGGCAGTCTAATAATTAATAGGTAAACTTAGGACGCAGAAATCACGTATCCCGCAGCAAAATTAGAGTTATCCCGATCCCGTCGCGAAAAARVCRCAAAATCCMGATCCCGCTTGCATTTTAAGATCCCGCATCCCGTCAAAATTTTTGTCCAGATCCCGAATCCCGCCATCAAAAAACGGCTTATCCCTCATCCCGCAAAACCTATTGTGGACCCTCTTCAATGGCTGACACGTAATGATGAGCCTCTTGGTATTCACTCYAAAACATGAACAAACTGTCTCACTTCCGAAGGCTGGAGTATTAAGGGGGGTCCTCCCCCGGGAAATTTTGAAATAATAACTATTGGAAATGCGATTTTCAGCGTTTTGAGTGGCATCGAGAGCAAATAAAAGGTATCAAATCCCGAAAATTTTAATATTTCCTTCACACTAGTACCATAGTACGCACGTGCGTATATGCGTAAAGGACTCTACGCGCCTGAATTAAATGTTAGTAAGAAAGTCAGTTAACTATACGATTTTCATTAGTCAGTTAACTACTATTTTTGGGCAAAAAGTCAGTTAACTACTAATTTTTAAGCCAAAAGTCAGTTAACTATTAACCCCATTGACACCCTCTTTGAATGTTTGTTTCTACCGTAGAGGCTTCGTTTATTTGTTTGTTTATTTGTAAATTTCCCCACGCGGAGTTCACAAGTAGAAAAGTCCATTTTTCTTGTCTGCTTATGTTATACTTGTATTGTGAACAGGGATGTACACTTTATTAAGAATTTACAAAAAATCAGATGAAAATCAGTTTAGAATTGGGCTTCCTGTAACAATATATTGAGCAATCGAGGAACGCCTGACAGAAAGCGTGCTTCCCAGGAATCGATCGGAGTTATAAACGAGTTGTTTGCTGTAATGCACTAGTCAATTGAAACCCCCGCCCCTCGACCCCCGGGGAATACCGGGGAATTTAACGTTTGAGTGGTGTTAAAATAAGACATTTCCCCCGGTAGTCGGGGYACATTCATTRTTRAAATCCCCGCTWCTGTTGCCCCGCTATTTTGGTCAAGTAGTAAATAACAAAACAAACACCTTTCAATCAAATTTTCTGTGATACACAGGGTTAATTTTTGTATAATCCTGTGTACTCATTTGCGTACTATACATGTGGCTAACTGGACGGAGAAAAACGTGTAATAAGTTTCTTTTTAAAAAAATTCATGCAAGGAAAAATAAAATAAATAGTGGCTTACTATATAAATTGATGATAAAATTAAGCGATAAAAAACTGTTTTTTAGAAAAAACATTTTAATGCACGACGTTTCGACGTTAACATAACGTCATTTTCAAGTAAAGGGGAATGGAAATTACAAAATGCTCATATATAGGAATAAAACAATAGGAGCTAATTTACAATTAAGAATATAAAGGAAAATATGAACTATAATAAAAAGAGTGTGTAACAATGTAAAGTAAGAAGATACAAGTAAACAATAATACGAAATATAAAGATAAAATTAAATAAAAAGTTTGGCGTTTATAGAGTCACATTGTACGTTTAGTGATGGTTTAAGCTTTCTAATGTACAACATTTCAAATATCAGGCAGTTGAACTTGTTTTTGCATTTCTTCAACACATTGAATTGTTCGTGGTTTGGTCCCGTGAGGATTCCATGATGTTGTTTTAAGTGTTTTCCTACTGTAGAATTGTACTTATGCTCAATTATGCGTTGAAAGAGGTGTCGGGTTGTCATGCCAACATAATCTGCATCACACAGATCACATTTGAATTTATAAACAACGCAGCTTTGATTGATAAGTTTAGGTTTAGTTTCACTGGGCCTTAACACATCCTGGACCTTTCTGCTGGTAAATATGGGCTGAATCGTGACTTCGATCTTGCTGCTGAGATCTTTAAACTGCTTTCTAACTGCATTAGCTGATTTTTGATCCTTAAAAGGAATAGGTATTCTTACTGTCTTGTAAGGATCTTTATCACTAGCTGCTTCTGATTCTTTGTTGTTATTGAAGTTCTTGATTGTAGTGTTGATGAGGTTAATTGGGTAACCAAGGTTAAGAAAAATAGATCGTAGCTTTTGGCATTCATCTTCAAAGTACTGATCGGTTGATGACAGTGCTTTAGCTCGATGTAGCATCGTCTTGATCAACGATTCCTGTAGCGCTCATCAACATGACTTTGATAATGGAGAAGTAAGCCATCGTTGGTGGGTTTGCGATAAACTCGTGTTTCCAGCTTAGTTCCATTTTTGATGATTTCATAACCAATAAATGATATCTTGTTGTCATATTGTAACTCCATGGTGAAATTAAGGTTGCTGTGCAGGCTGTTAAGARTCGTGAGGAAGCATTCTGCAGAGTCGACATTAGGCATAACTTAAACTTTTTATTTAATTTTATCTTTATATTTCGTATTATTGTTTACTTGTATTTTCTTACTTTACATTGTTACACACTCTTTTTATTATAGTTCATATTTTCCTTTATATTCTTAATTGTAAATTAGCTCCTATTGTTTTATTCCTATATATGAGCATTTTGTAATTTCCATTCCCCTTTACTTGAAAATGACGTTATGTTAACATCGAAACGTCGTGCATTAAAATGTTTTTTCTAAAAAACAGGCTTAATTTTATCATCAAGGAAAAATAAAMAAATAAAAAAGCGGGGTTGAATACCAATGCCTTCAGGGTATTTCTCAAGATGGCGAACGTCTAGTTTCCAGCCTCATACATGTTCAAACGAGCGTTAAAATCCCCGCTCTTTGCCCCGCTTCGAAACCAATTCATCAAAATCCCGACCCCCCGGGGCAATCGTGCTGTTAAGGGTGTACTGACATATCCGTTGCTAGGGAAATTCAGTAGTTATCTAAAATGACTGAAAAAAGTAAAATCGCTTTCGTATTGGGTATTTAGCCTTCCCCAAGAAAGATAATGCATTACATGACGTCATTGAATTACGTCATCGCGTGACATCATAATTTCAGAAAAAGGCTATAATTTCATCAAGCAAAGTAAAATAAACGATTTAAAAAGGATAAAATGAATCTTCAGGTCTAAGTCCGTAAAGCCAAGTATGCGTTTTTAGAATGATTGCCAAATAAGCTTTTTAGGATTTTTTAAATGCCAGAAATAAGCGGAAAATGCCAATAACTTTCGTATTTTTTAATTTTTCGCCAAACCCATGCTTGTTTCTGAAGAGGAGGCTGTGAACAACATAAATATTGAAAAAAACACGTGCATTTGATGTTTCGAGCCGAAGATTGTATTTTTTTAAATGATACCATACATTTTATGTAAACAAAAACCTTTCCGCCAGAAGTAAAAATTTTCCCGCAATGACAACGCGCGCGCGCGCTCTTCTCCGATTGGCTGCATAGCGATGCATAGCAGCCAGGTCGTCTAGCAACGGATATGTCAGTACACCCTTAAAAGCACGTTAACGCGTCACGTCCGCGTTCAGTGCCCCGCTAGCCCCGGGGGTCGGGGGGCTGGGGTTTCAATTGACTAGTGCATAAAGAGCCTTCTTTTTGCTAATTGTTCTCTTAATCGTTAGTCGACTTTACTATTATCCTAAAATTATTGTATTGAAGAATCAAAATATGGAGTCTTCAAACTGGCAAACACAATTTTYTACTYTCAGAGAACGTARTAAGTACGCGTTCGACAATTCATTGTTCTGTGATGTCGAGTTCTCGGTTACAGACGGCGATGGAAACAAAGTCACCATTCCATCCAACAAGTACGTGCTGGCTACCACCAGTCCTGTCTTTGCTGCCATGTTTTACGGTCATCTAGCCGAGAATAAACCAACTATCGACCTACCAGACTGCACTAAGGAAGGACTACMAGAAATGCTTCGTTATGCACATTGTGAAGAAGCCAATCTAACCGGAAGTAACGTAATGGAGTTACTCTACCTCGCCAASAAGTACATGATGCCATTCCTAGAAAAGAAATGTAAAGAATATCTCGAGACTGAAGTTGGTCCAGAAGATGTGTTCATTGTTTTACCACAAGTACAGAAAATGGGAGATGAAGACCTTGAAGAACACTTGTGGGAAATTGTTGACAACCAAACTCATCGAGCCATTTCTTCTGGATCATTTCTGGATGTATCTAAAGAACTGCTTTGTCAAGTACTCAAAAGAGACACTCTTAGTGCATCTGAAGTGCATATTTTCGAAGCTGTAGATAAATGGGCCACCAAGCAGATTGATAAAAGAGCATTGGTTTGTGATGGTGAAGCAAAAAGAGCCATTCTTGAAGAAGATCTCATCCGATTGATTCGATTTCCGCTTATGTCTCAAAGGGAGTTTGTTGAAATTGTACTTCCAAGTAAAATTCTGAACATAGATGAAATAACAGAGGTGCTTCAAATTTTTAATGGTATAACTGCTGCTGMYACCGTATTTAATAACAAAAGACGCTTGCCTGAATCTTTCCTTGAACCGTTGATAACTAGATTTAAAAAGATGGATGTTTTTGGATGGGGCTACAGCGCCGGATTACCAGATGCTATAAACTTTACTGTTAACAAAGATGTCAATCTGGTTGGTGTGCGATTATTTGGCAGCGAAGGTTCCAAATACGAAGTAGGATTGAAAATCAACGAGAATTATGAATGCCTTGCCGAGTTATCGTCCTCGTTCATGAGTGAAGAGATAGATGGTTTGTACTATGGATTCACGGTTACCCTTGACAAACCTGTGCGTCTAGTCTCTGGTCAGCTGTATAGATTGGAAGCAAGAATTAGTGGACCAAACTCATATCTTGGAGGCGATTGTGCAAAGACTGTACAGGCTGGAGATATTGTAGTAACTTTCTCAACTGCTTCTCAGCCTAACAACGCTACTAGTGATAAAGCAGGTCAGTTTCCTTCGCTTATTTTACAACATCTGTGATTGGAAAGAGATACTTTGTATTTATTATTATCGGACTGTTTCAGAAGCAGATCAAATAGTCAAAAACGAACATTTTTTGTTACAAAGAACATTTTTTTGTTACAAAGAATAGAATGTAGTTATACACTAAGCTCTCAGTCTTGAGCGCTGGCTTATATATCATCGCCAAGATAGCTAATGTAGCGTGAAGTCGTTCTACATTGTAGCTAGCGTAATATTGAGATAACACTTGCGACGCGAGATAACTGCTACGGTTCATGGTATGCACGGTAAAAAGTATTTTTTAGCATTGGATCGTTATATTGGATTCCAAGTGCATGAGCGTCAAAGATCTTATAAGTTGGCTAGCCGTAAGCATGGTCCCCTATACCTTTTGCGTGATTCGTGATCGGCCGATTTTTTTTACGTGAAACGTGAATGGAGCTTTTTTTTATTCGTGATTCGTGATTCAAACTTTATGCGTCCACGTGAATCCGTCTTTTTCTTTTCGCTTGATTCGTGAAAGGAAATACTCATTTAACGTGATTCGTAAAACCCTTGATTGTGGTAATCTTGCGTGACGAAGTCATGGCGTTCTTTTCGCTTATTTTTTGTCAAAGCTGTCACTTGAGATGTGTTTWAAAAATGTTATTCTGTCCAATGTCAAAAAATGTCATCACATGTCATCAGATGACCATCAAATGTGTACGTCATATGAGGTTAATGAACTGCCGACCTGGTCGGATTACAACATCTGTGGTCTCCAGCTATAGAGGTAAGTGAACGTTTTGTTATATTCCTGCTAAATAATAACATGAAATGATAGAATTATCGTCATGGCCGCTAAGTGTGAACCAACATGAACCAATAGTATAATACAGATCATAGTGATCATAGTAGATGTTCAGTACAGACCAGCACAGTGTTTAGAGAGATACAATCAGTGTTATATTTGATTTGATCTCATGTGATTTATGAACTAAGTGTGCTAGTTTAATAATATACATTCAAAAATAGCTAGTCCGACTTCACATTCCAAGAGCGTCTAGTTTAACCACATTTAAAACTTTACAATTAATACAATTCTATCACGTCATCAGTCTACGTCACTACGGAGACCCTTGCACGTGCTTGCTCTATTGGTCATTTTTCAAAGTCAGCACATTCGGGAACACCAATTAGGCAGGAACGAAGGAGTCAGGGCGGGTATGCATACATGCCAGGGCTGGGCATGTGACTCCTACGTTCCTGACTGATGACGAGATAGAATTCCAATCAAACATCGACTTACAGGTAAGTCTCGTTTAATTTTAAATTCTATCACGTCGTCAGTCTACGTCACTACGGAGACCCATGAGATTTCAACGTCCCGAATGTGCATGGCAAAACGAGCTCAGACGATATGACAACACGTTATATACGTATCTATATTGTCTATAAAGAGGAGAGTTTACAACTTTATCATTAATGATGAGACTTAATTAAAAGTCTAAATATCTCTGAAGCTATTGTATAAGCCTATGATCGGGAATAGTAGTCTAGAATAGAAGAACCATAGTTTCTTGTAAGCGGTTTATCATAATATTTGGCAAATGTTTGTGCATTAGCCCATCCCCCAGCTTTCAGGATGTCCTTGAGGGGAATCCCAGCCGATTTTGCGTATGAAGTCGAAGCTGATCTTCCACTGTGTGCGGAAAAGACTGTAGTATCAATACCTGCATCTGCCATTGTCGACTTGACCCATTTCCCTATGGTGGCACTTTTGACTGCCTTATGTGGTTTAGCGTAACTGATTAAAAGTTTCGTGACTTCCGGTTTGCGCAAAGCTGACGTTTTTTCTAAGTATAAGCTAATTAACTTAACAACACAAAGTCTTTCATCCGGCTTATACTCATTGAGTTCGAGAGGGTCTATGTGTCTCCCGGGTTTGGTAGTTTTAAGTGTTTCGCGGATCGTAAATATGTATTTGTCTGATTTACGTTCCATGAACTTTATGTCGAGTTTACTCAGTGTTTGACATCTCTGACCGGTARTAAGACTCAATAGCATTGTCAATTTCATGGTCAGTTGCTTGAGGCTGGGAGTTGGTGGTATATCAGCTAGGAATTTCAAAATTGTTCCTACATCCCAAGTTATGGTGTACCTGGGTAGTGAGGGTTTCATTTCAAAAACTCCTTTCATGAATCTTATCACTAATGGATGGTTTCCAAAGGTGCATTGCGTGGTTGATATTATTGTAGATAGCGCGGATCTAGCGGTGTTTATAGAGCTATAGCCGAGACGCTGTTTATAAAGGTCTGCTAAAAATTCAATCCCTTGGTAAATTGTTGATTGAAAGGTTGTAATGCCGCGCTCTCTACAGTACGCTTCCCAACGTGCCAAGTRGGTGTRATATTGTTTGCACGTTGAGGTGCGCCATGATGYCATTACAATGTCACGCGCCTCTGTTGACAGGCCTAATCGGTCAATGCTTTCCCTGATAAGTGGCACACAAGAAGGRTCAATTTTTGCCATAGGGGATGTGTTTGTAGAGGTTGATGTGGGAGCCCTAGTAGTGTCTTGTGTGGCCTCAGGGATATCGGTGGTTGTATCAGAAACTTCATTACTTTCGGATACCAAGCCTGGGTTGGCCAATCCGGTACCACTAATATTCCTGAGGCCTTGTCGTCTTGTATTTTCTTGAGTACATGTGGTACTAAACTAAAAGGAGGGAATGCATAGAAATCTAGATTAGTCCATGATATGGACAGTGCGTCAATGGCGAATGCTCCGGGGTCCGGGCGATTCGATAACTGGGTGTTGATGCGAAACGCAAATAAATCAATTTGCGGGGTAACCTCGAGGTCGTGTAGTGCCTCTTTTAGCATCTCTGGGTTTAGTTTCCACTCATGCGTAGAGCGGTTATCGCGAGACTCAAAATCTGCCCTTGTATTGAGTTTTCCCGCAATATGTGCTGCGCTGAGCCATAGACCACGTTCAATGGCCCATTCCCACACCTCTTTACAAAGGGAATTAAGTTTGTTGGAATGGCTTGTGCCCATATTGTTAATAAGGGCGACGGATCGTGGTGTTATCAATCATTAATCGCACATGCTTATTTTTGATAGTGTTAAGGAATGTTTGCATTCCTAAAAAGACGGCTAATAATTCAAGATAATTGATATGATGACTTTTTTCATTTGAGGCCCAAAAACCCCCAGTAGATTTGTTCTCATACACGGTCCCCCAACCTTCGTTACTTGCATCAGTTGTGAGTGTACAGTCAGGTTCGGGGAGTGTGATAAGCCCATAGCACGTGGCGGCATTTTCTAACCACCAATCTACTTCAAGGAGGGTAGTAGGTGACAGTGTCATGTGAGAGTCAAAGTTCCCCTTATTCACTTTGAGCGCTTTCGTCCTATCTCGTTCGAGCGCGCGAAAGTAAAGGGGACCAAATCTGGACCCGGGAAAAGAGGAGATAATCGTGCCTATTGTCTGCGCTGTTTCGCGCACGGTTGGGTCGGCCTTGTTGCAAAGAGAATCGCATAGGGATTCTAATTTCCTTATTTTTTCTTCTGTCAGAGTTACTGTCATGGTAACTGAATTAATGTTAAACCCCAAGAATACTATTTGTTGACTTGGATTGAAAACTGATTTGTCCGGGTGAATATAAAACCCGAGAGACAAATAAAAATATCACAGGTATCAACGACGTTTTTGGCGCAGTCCTGATACGTGTCCCCCTGCAGGAAAAAATCATCAATGTACCCGAGTACAATATGTCCCATGCGATGTAAGGTAGCAAGTGGAGGTTTTAGCAATTTCGTAAATGATCTTGGCGCACAAGACAGTCCATTAGGCATGCCATGAAGCAATTGCGGTGAACGAGTTTTAGCACGGTATGCAAAGTATCCATTTTAAAATGAACTTTTGGTGAGAATACGAAAATGGGAGAGATTATCTCACCATTATCATGCCCGGTGGGCTCTATGACCTGTTTTTTTCTGCAATTTCTCAAGTTCATTGTCTATGGCTAATTGTTCTTTTGTACTAAAATTGGGAGTGTAATAAAGGCGTTGCTGTGGCTTTCCGTCAAATACTATTTTAAGCCCAGCGACACACCTAAGTATTGCTCTATCCGAGGTAAGATCTTTCCAGCTATGTAGATAATGTGATAGGTTTCGGGCGACAAATGTCTCACAATTCTTTGCAAAGCACGTTCTCAACCCGGTAATGTGATTGCAAAAAGCTGAATTAATATCTAAATTATGATCTAAAATCTGAAAGGATTTTCTTACCTGGTCTTTTAGAGTATGTAGAGCCTGTATTATTTCGTGTCGTCCGCCTTTCTTGTGTGTCGAGGTTTTTTCTTGTACTGGCTTTTGTGACTCTTGGATAAAAAAGAGCGTTTGTAAAAATTTGAGGAGCGATAGGAGTCCGAGTGTGGCCGTTTTTGCCCCCTGTGCCGGTCATTCTTTGATTGGCCCACCGTAGCACCAATTTTTGTGGCCTCTTTAGCGTCCCTGATCTGCTTTGCCAGGTTATCGCCAAACAGGAGGGTGTTTGGCTCTTCCATTTCCCTAGAGCAGAGTGAGCGAAATTCGCTTTTGAGCGCAGGTTTCATCTGCTCCTTTCTTATCCCCGACAAGTCGGAAAAAATATGGCTTAGGAGGCCAATGGTGTCTACGCCATTGGTCATCACTTGCTTTTGTTCGTCCTTATGCACGTCGAGCCGCAGGACGTTGTCGCACATGGCCAGCACTGCCGAGGTCGCTTTAAGCACTGTCTTTTGCAAGTTGTTTAGCCGGAGATCGTTCGTGCGGCGGTGGGAGTTGAGTTGGCTCCAAATTTCCCCGTTAACCTTTGGGACCACCATCTTGGAGCAGTTCTCTGGAACTTGATGCGCCTCCAGTAGGCTCTTTAGTTTATCCGTAGATAACTTTCCCTCCCCCCCCCCCCCCCCCCCTATCTTTTCAGAGTTATATCGGCCAATTTTTGGTCGACTTTAGGCCCAAGTTGTTCGTCGTCATCAATAGATGCCGCTAATTCGCTCAGAAGGCTTTCTGAAGGGCTTTTGCTGGTCGATTTATCTCCCGTAGAGCCATCATTGCTTTTTACAAGCTGTTCGAGGTCATCCTCCGAAGCATGTACGCTCATAGCTTCATCGTCAGACTCCTCAGAGCTTGATGAGGATACGTTCGGCTTTCGTGATAGAAGTTGGGTACTCGCGTTTGCTTTCCCGCCATTATTGCCCAGCGGGCTCGGTTGGCCGGTGGCCTGTCGATCGCGATCATCTAGCGTTTGACAGAGTCTCACCATAAGGTCTGTCATGCTGCCCATTTTGGCGTTCTAAGGTAGCTGGTGGCTGACTTCTTGTTCCCTGTGGGGAAACCTCGTTCTCGGCGGTGGCTGACACGATGGTAACGGCAGGCTCGATGTGTTGCTCGGTCATATTTCCCTGTTTTCTGAAAAAGAACTTCCTCGAAAGAACAACTGTTAAGCTATTGTAAAATATACTCACGAACAGACGTTTGCTATCTGGAGTACGGATAATATGTTCAAGTAAAGATGTGTTTGAAATAATTTACACACGTTGTAGAGAGCTCGTAAGCCGATGTTTGCTGACCTTAAGCAAGGAATGCAAAGACCAATAGAGCAAGCGCGTGCTTCTCATGGGTCTCCGTAGTGACGTAGACTGATGACGTGATAGAATTTAAAAATTAAACGAGACTTACCTGTAAGTCGATGTTTGATTGGAATTCTATCTCGTCATCAGTCAGGAACGTAGAAGTCACAATGTGAATTAAAAAGGTATTAGATATGATATCACTTAGCGACATCTAGTCAGTTGTAAGTTGTTCGCAGGGTATTAATTACATGACCTTTTAGGTCAAAATTTAGATTTCTATCGTTTTGAAGTCGTTGCAGAGAGCAGTCAAAAAGAATATCGTATCGTGTGAATAAACGGTTTTGAACAGTACATTAAGTAACGCATTCTTGCTTTCACTATGTATTAGAAGTAAAAAATACAATATTCTACGTCATAATATATATTCAAAAATAGCTAGTCCGACTTTACGCTCCAAGAGCGTCTAGTTTAACCACATTTAAAACTTTACAATTAATACAATTACACCATGCTTCGACGTTATCAAACCAAAGATAAAATAATGTTTTACCGCAGAATAATATTATTAAATACCCTAGAGATAATATATTTCTGTTAACTTGATGCGTAAAACATGATTTCTCATTCTGCGTGAATACGAAAAATAATTTTCCGTGATTCGTGAAATGGTCGAATAATTTTACGTGAAACGTGAACACGTTGATTTTTGCGTGAATGTGAAAACGATTCAAGAATTTTGCGTGATGCTTGAAACGGGCCGATTAATTTTACGTGAATGCATTTTCCGAGGGGGTATAGGGGATCCTGCGTAAGCACGTGAATAAACAATTAGGATTTTGAGCAGCACATTAATTAATTAATAAATAAACTAGTTAAAGTAACGCATTCCTGCTTTCACTATATATTAGAAGTAATATAGACAGAATATTACATGGTTGTATCTCGCTTGGAGATACGAATTTTATCTTGTCGTGTTAAAAATATTTTAATTATTGTTCGCGTATAGATGCTTACGACGTAAGCCGGAAGTGAATTGAAAACAATAGAAAACAAAGGGATGGAAACGAGACCTCAGGGCCCTGGAGAAGTTTAGATGGCAAATATCAAGAGATTCCATTCACCTGAATTCAAGAAAAATTGCTTGTCTTTACGAAAAGGACATTTTCTTTCTCCTTGTTAAATTCAAAAAAATAGTTTTCAATCCCTAAGTTCTAAGTTAGGGACTGTGCAATAATTACCAGGAGGAAGGGGGGGTGGGGGAGGGGGGGGGGAGGGCGTAAAACCAGATGGAGGGCATTACAT